AGGCCTCTTGGGCTGTTTTGGGGCCCTCTTGGGCCAGTCTTGGGGGCCTCTTGGTCCGTTTTGGGGCCATCTTGGAGGCCTCTTGGGCGATATTGGGGCGATCTTGAGGGGATCTTGGGCCGTCTCGGGCCGTCGGTAGGCCGAAAAACAGCAAATGTTACAATTCTTCAACAACCGAGAAATCAATGATTTTGGCCTCTTCGGGCCTTCCTTTCAGGCCCTCTTGGAGGCCTCTGGTAGAGCCATCTTGGGCCGCCTTGGTGGGCTCCTGGCCCGTCTGACGCCGTCGGAAGCCGTTTAGGGGGCCTCTCTGGGCCGACTTGGGGCCTTCTTGGAATGCTCCATGACAGCCTTGGAGGCTTCCTTGGGCGTGTTGGAAGCTTCTTGGGCCGTCTTTGGGCCCTCTTGGGGCCGTCTGCGGGGCCTCTTGGGCCGTTCTGGGGCCATCCTGGAAGCCTCTTGGGCGATCTTGGGGCGACCTTTGGGGGCTCTTGGGCCGTCTCGGGCCGTCTGTAGGCCGAAACAACGCAACTGTCACAATTCTTCAGCAACCGAGAACATCAATGATTTTGGCCTCGTCGGGCCTTCCTGGAGGCCCTCTTGGAGACCTCTTCGGCCGTCTTGGGCCATCTTAGAGCCATCGTGGGCCGTTTTGGTGGGCTCCTGGCCCGTCTGACGCCGTCGGTCTTGGGGGCCTCTGTGAACCGACTTGGGGCCCTCTTGGGGTGCTCCAGGGCCGTCTTGGAGGCTTCCTGGGATGGGCCGTCTGCCCTCTTGGGTCCGTCTTGGGGGCCTGTTGGGCAGTCCTGAGGCTTTCTTGGAGGCCTCTTGGGCGCTCTGGGGGCGATCTTGGGGGCCACTTGGGCCGTCTTGGGCCGTCGGAAGTCCGAAAAAGAGCAAACACGAAACTATGCCAAAATCCAAAGGAAAGTGAATTATTTGAGCCTCTTCGGGCCTTCCTGGAGGCCCTGGTAGAGCCATCTTGGGCCGTCTTGGAGGCCTCCTGGGCGCCTCTTGGGCAGTCTTGGGCCGTCTTGGAGGCTTCTTGGGCGGACTTGGAAGTATCTTGGACCCTGTTGGGCTGTCTTGGTGGCCATCTTGGTCATCTTGGAGGCATCTTGGAGGCCAGCTTGGGCCCTCTTGAAGCCGTCTGGGGCAGGAAAAACCTTGATACAGAATCTTCTGGGTGGCCGGCGGGCTGGGCCAGAGCCCCAGGGGACAGTTCTTTGGGAAAAAGGGCCAACACCCAAACCGAAAGGATCCAGCACGCCGGGCACCCCTGTGGTAAGCCAACAGGGGGCGGCGGATCTAGTCGTCCGTCGCCCATCCCGCCATCTCTTTGGGGGTATCTCCGTGTGCCTCTTTGGGGTCTCTCAGACACTCTTTTGGGGCCCTTTCGATCCGATCGATCCCACTCGATAGCGGTTTCGGTCGACCCGACCTCGATTCGATTCCGATGTTCCGGCGATTTGCTGCGGCCCTCAATGGCTGACGTGGCGCTGCCGTGCACCCGGGCTCGGCCGATTCGATTCGGTTCCGACTCGGCGGCGATGCGGCCAGAGCCGACGCTCTTTCCGATTCGACCTCGCGACCCGATGCGACTCACCAGAAACAGAAGTACCACTGCCACCAGCTAGGGGGGTGGCTGTCCCACCCTCTCGAGCTGGTGGCACCTCGCGCCGAGCATGCCTCCAGGGAGTTCCCAGAAGGAGGCGCCACCAGCTCGAGGGGAGGGAGCGGCATCCCCATTGCTGGTGGTGGTGGTACTTCTGTCTCCCCGATTCGATGCTGACTGACCTCTATGATTACCATCACCTGATCTCGATGCCGATCTCAGGGATTCCCTCGGCTTCTGAGGGCGCATCCCACAGATTGTCATCGCCTTGGGCTTGCCGATCTCAGGGATAGGGATCAGTTCGAGGCTGGTTACGACTCCCCGGTTCGATGCTGACTGACCCTGCCTTCGGAGCCCCCCGTGGGGCGCCACCTGGCCTCCTCGGACAGAGAGGGGTGCCTCTCGGGCGCTGGGCGCGGCGGCCTTCTGCACCCCAGAGCGGCAGGCAGAGGCACACAGGTGGGTGTGTGGTTCAGAGACATGTCTTTCTCCGCTGGCTCCTCCGCCTCCTCCTCCTTCTCCTCCCTCCTCCCCCCTCCTCCCTCCTCCCCCCTCCTCCTCCTCCTCCCTCCTCCTCCTCCTCCTCCTCCTTCCTCCTCCCTCCTCCCTCCTCCTCCCTCCTCCTCCCTCCTCCTCCCCTCCGTAGCCATTTTTGGCTCAGCTCGGGGCGCCGAGCCGGCGGACGGCGGGCCGCCCTTGCGCGGGCGGCTGGGCGCCATGGGGCCGTGCAGTGGTGCGGCGGGCATGGCGGCGCTGTCCGAGGCGCTGGTGCACCGCCCGGCTGCGGCAGGCGTCTTCGGCGCAGCCGCCGCCGTGCTGGAGGCGGGCGCGATGGGCAAGCAGCTCGCCACGCTCCTGGCTGGGGCTGCTCGCGGCGCTGGCCAGGGCGCCCAGTGGCAGGCCGCTGCTGGCGATGGCGTGCGAGGTGATGGAAATGGACTCCTGGCGCGCGTGGAGGAGGCGCTCGAGGAGGTGGGCCGCGGCGTGGGCGGCGGCAAGCCGTCGGGTGTCTGAGGCCCAGGCCCATCTTCGCGCAGCGCGGGGCAGCCTGGGGCCTCCTTGGCCGCGAGGTTGGGGCGCATCAGCCAGGCGCGCAACGCGGCGGGCCGGGCCACCCCGACGTGGGGCGCTGCGGCGCCATTCGCGGGGCTCCTCGGGGCGCAGGCCGTGAAGGGCTCCGCGACGGGGGGCGTCCCCTTCGGCCCGCAGCCGACACTCGAGCGACAAGGGCGAGCTGCGGGCGCGGGTCAACGAGGCGCCGACCCTGAAGGCGGCGCTGCCAGAGGCGCTCGTGGAGGAATTTTGCGAGGAGAAGGACATATTTTCATCGAGGGGGCGCAGGCCGATGACGACATCGGAGTACGTTTGGTCTGCCAACGTGGTGAGCACCCTGAAAGCGCAGGCCCTGAGGGACATGGTGATCATCCTGCAGGCGCAGGCCTTGAGGGACAACTCAATGACCTCCTACATGGTGTCGAAGAGGACGATGGCGGTGCGCCCCAGGCGCCCCAACAGGTCCGTGTTCAAGAAGAAGGCCAGACAAGCCTGACAAGACTGATGGATAATTACATTGTCGCGGCCTTTGGCGAAGAGAAGAGTGAGACGGCGATGCAGCACGGCCTTCGCAAGCTCATGAACCCAGTCGGGGTCGAGTTTGAGGGCAAGCGGAAGGAGGAGGAGGGTTTCGTCAATCCCGTTACGATGCGCAAGTCCTTGACCCCAGGCACAGGCGAGTTCGAGGGCCAGCGGAAGGAGGATGTGGGCATCGTCAACACCATCGCGATGACGGTGGTGAAGGTCCCGCCGCGGGAGCGCAGCGCCCCATGACAACGAGGAGGCCCGTGCCTTCAAGAGCAGGTTCCGCGACAAGCTGGGCAAGCAGGCCGCAGCTGAGAGTGTGAATGAGGGCGCCTGGGGGTAGAGTGGCGGCTCTCAAGGGTTCGGTGGCGACGGCCGCAGGGTGAGCCCTGTGGGTGCGACGAGCGGGCGCCAGTCGGCGGCTGCTGGTGCGGGGACGCTCGGGCGTCGGCCGCGCCAGCGATGGGCGGTCGCGTCGCGATTCGCGCCTGCGCCGTCCGGGAATGCTGCGGACTGGCTAGTGCCCACCCGCGGCGACCAGGTGGGGGCGGGCAGGTGGGGCAGAGTTTGTCACGGGCGTCATTTTCGAGAATATCGTTGACAGGCTCTTACGGCTGCAGGCAGCCCATACCGCACACCCAGGGAGGCGCCCGATGATTCTGGCAGAGTCAGGGGTCCATGCCATTGGAATCCTAGAGTACTTGAGCACCCAGTAGTCAGAATTGTGCGAGCCTCGGAACACTCGTATGCGTATTCGAGGCACGGTGGCGTTTTTTTTTTTTTGACATCCCTTCCACCATGTTTGACGCGTTGCGTATCCCTATCAGCCGCGAGTGGTTCTTGGAAACGGCAGGGCACTTGTTGTTGTCTTGCATTTTGAAAACAAAGCCCTGATCATGATATTGAAGACTGTAAAGCGACAGTTCGCCGAAATTGAGAGAAAACGCGCCAGAATTCGGAAAACAACGGCAACACAGAAGTAAGCCACATCGGGTTTATCGCTTCCAAGAACCATTGGGATCCCCACCGTCCCATTCAGAAATGATGCCCAGGCGAGTTGCTTTGACCAGGTGACAAAGCTCCTTTCCGGCAGCAGACGCGGACGCGAGCGCGGCTGCAGGACCGGCGGGCCTCGGTGGGCATTGGGCGCGCCCAGGGCGGGCAAAATATGTATTCTTTGGAGATATGTAGAGGGAAACGGGGGAGGAAGAGGAGAAGGAGGAAAACAGGAAGGCCTTTCCTCGACCATCGCTCATCGAGAGAAACGTGGCGTCACTAAGGTCCCCGTCTTGTTGTTCGTCATCGTCTTTTTCTGCCGTCTTCATTATTTCTGTCGTCTTCGTCGCCGCCGCCGCCGTCGCATGCGTGGTGTTTGTCTCGTCGTCGTCGTCGTGCGCGTCGTCGTTTTTTTCCTTTCTCCCAAATCAGGTCCCTTCCCAACGGGTCTGGGGTCCTTTATTTGGTCCATCGATCGTCCTCTGCGGAGATGCGCGCGAGCGCCTGCCCTCGGGCCGCCGTCGCCGTCATGTGCCGTCTGCGCCGAGCGCGTGCCTGCGGAGCGCCGCCTGCCTCGGTCTCCGAGCCGGGCCAGCCCGGAGAGCACCTCCCCGCCCCTGGGATGGGGCATCGCCCGGCTTCGAGGCTGCTCTCGGGCATCCCCGCGGCTTCTGCGGGCGCGTCCCTAAAGAGGGTCGTCGCGCTGGGGCTCGTCAAAAGCCCGGGGATCTCGAGGGCAGCTCCGAGGCCTGGGAGCTCCCCTCCGCCGCCCTCGCTTTCGCCCGTGGCGGCCCGCCCGCTGCCCGCGCCCAGGCCCGACGCCGTGGCGGCGCCCTGGCCGGCGGCTGCCAGGCGCCGTCGGTGCGGCGCCCCCGCGGCCGCCGACCGTCGCCGCCGCCCTCGCCGCCGCCGCCGCCTTGGCCGCCGCCGCATGGGCCGCCGTCGCCCTGGCCGCCGCCACTGCCGCCACCCATCGCCGCCGGCGTCGCCGCCGCCGGCCTCGCCACCGTCGCCGCCGTCGCCGCCGCCGCTGCCGTTGCCGCCGCCGCAGCCGCCGCCGCCGCAGCCGTTGTGCCGTTGTCGTTGCCACCGCTGTCGTCGCCGCCGCCGTTTCCATCCACTGTCGTCGGCACGACTCTTCGGAGGTCTCTCATGTAGGCTCTTCGGATGTCTCTCGGCCGATTTTTGAGGGTCTTGTTCGAGGCTGCCGGCCGGATGCCTCCAGAAGATGTTTTTTGTTTTTGTTGTTGGGAGCATGCGCCAAAAGCGCCAGCCTGATAGCCATGTCGTGCGCCTGCCGCGGTACGGAGGCCAGGCCGACAACGACAAAGGTCACGGCATGTGCATTTGATTCAACCGAGCGGCCTGGCCGTTTCTGGAGAAGGAGCGGGAGCGGTGAATGGGGGGGGCACGGCGGAGGATCAGAAGGGAGGGGATTGGACGAGGACTTCGCCCAATTCGTCACGTGTTCCTGCTCCTGCTCCCTCTTTTTCGTTCTCGCTTCCCCTAGTCCACCCTCCGCCTTCATTTACTCCATTTCCCCACCTGAGTCCCTCCCATCATTCTCGTCTCTCTCGTTGAGGGGATGTGGAGCTGTCCGATGAGGCCAGGTGTCCTCGCCTCCGCGAGTGCAGGCACGTGCCTCGCGAGGTGGGCGAAGCCCCGCGAACTGTTGTTGCCACCGTCGCTTCGCCGCCGCCAGCCGCCGTCGCCGCCAGCAGAGGTGTCGCCGCCGCCGCCACCGACGCCGACGCCGTCGCCGCTGAAGCAGCCAGCAGCCGCTGCAGCGATCGTCTCCGTCGACGTCGTCGCCGCCGGTGCCATCGTCCCAAAATCCGACGTCGTGATGGTCGGGAGACTCTCCATGGGGGGGGATCCTATGGGATGCCCCCGCCCTGGGATCCTATCCCCCCATGGGATCCCCCCCCATGAAGAGTCTCCCGAGATGGTTGCCGCAGCGTGGCTCTGAGCCCCATGGCCTGGTGAGGGCCCGATGGCCTGGTGAGTGGATCCCCCGCGGTCGGCCATCTCCCAGAACCTGCAGTGGAGACCCTTGCCAAGGAAAAGCTCTGCTCGCCTCCAGGATGCCCTGGGTTTCTGGGGTTTCGATGGTCTTGCTCTGCGGAGCGCGACGCTCCCGCTCCAGAAGTCGATAAAGGTCCTGGGGTCTCAGGGTCGGGTTTCTTGTGGAAGGCTTCTCGCGGTCGAGCCCCTACTGTACGTCGCGACTTGTCCACGACGCGAAGATGCCAGGGAGGAGGAGGAGGCGGAGGAGGCAGAGGAGGAGGAGGAGGAGGAGGAGGAAGAGGAGGAGGAGGAGGCGGAGGAGGAGGCGGAGGAGGAGGAGGAGGAAGAGGAGGAGGAGGAGGAGGAGGAGGAGGAGGAGGAGGAGCAGGCGTCGCCTCCGCCGCCCGCCCAAGACCGCCGCCAGCCGCCGCCGCCGCCGCCCAGCGACCTTGGTCGTCCGCCGCTGCCGAAGGCCTCCGCCCGCGGCGCCCGCGCCACGGCATGCCGGGCCAACCCAACGGCGGTCTTCGAGACCACCATGGGCACCTTCAAGGCGGCCCCCCCCCAGGAAGGGGAGGGGTCAGGATCTCGACGGCGATGGTCGAAGAAGAAGAGGCCACGTAAACGTAGACTTTTTTTTCGCTCCGCGCTGGATTTTTTAGATCCGCGTCTGGGCCCCCCGGCGGCGCCTCCGGCGCCGCCCCTGGCGTGCTCCGCGCGCCAGGGAGGGGGGTCCAGCGCGGATCCAAGAAACCCGCGCGGAGCGCAAACAGTTTATGTTTAAGTGGTTGTTCTTCTTCTAGAAGAGGTCCTGGCTCGAGGAGGATGCGGTGGAGGAGGATCTAGGCTTCCTACATGGGTTCGGAGTAGATGGATGGTGTCGGAGGATCGTGCCGCATCGCCGATGCATCGGGGATGCATCGGCGATGCGGCTCGATGTGGGGCCCAATTTTCTCCACGCCGACGTCGCGGCTGCATCGCCGGCGTCGCCCATGCATCGCCAGTGCATCACCGATGCATCGCCGATGCATCGCCGATGTATCGGTGATGCGGCGCGATCCTCCGACCCCATCTTCTCCGACCCCATCTGGGAGGCCTCAAGAGGAGGAGGACGAGAGGCGAGAGCTGAGAGGAGATGTGCAGAGGCAAGATGGGTGTGCTCGCGCTGCTGACCTTCTACCCCTCCCGCCCATACCTTTGCCTTCCGCTGTTTTGCTCTCTCTGTCTACCGACGGGGGTGCAGAAAGGGGGGCGATGTACGCTGGAGCAGGAACTCCCGTGGCCCCGACAATCCCATCCCGGGGATGATCAAGACGGGGGTTCCCGGAAGAGATCTATCCGTAAGGGCTTCGCCCCTTGCCGCCGGCCCCCTCTCTCGGAGAACGGGCCATGGAAGAGCGAAGTCATGAGGCTTTGGCTTCGCCGTGAAGCAGTGTCGGGACCTGTTTGTTTTTCGACCCTGACCCTATGGATCTGCGTGAGGGGTGCCTGGAAGTTTCAGAAATGTAGCAAATCCCATGTGTTTTTAAACCCTGACCCTGCGGATCTGCGTGAGGGGTGCCACCGAATTTCAGAAATGTGGCAAATCCCGTATGTTTTTGGACCCTGACCCTGCCGATCTGCGTTTGGGGTGCCACCGATTTTCAGAAATGCGGCAAATCCCATTTGTTTTTGAACCCTGACCCCGCCGATCTGCGTGAGGGGTGCCACCGAATTTTAGAAATGTTGCAAATCCCATATGTGTTTGGACCATGACCCCGCGGAATTGCATGAGGTGTGCCACCGAATATGAGAAATGTAGCAAATCCCATGTGTTTTTGGACCCTGACCCCGCCGATCTACGTGAGGGGTGGCGCCGAATTCCAGCAATGTGGCAAATCCGTTGTGTTTTTGGCCCCTGACCCTGCCGATTTGCGTGAGGGGCGCCACCGTATTCCAGAAATGTGGCAAATCCCTTATGTTTTTGGACCCTGACCCCGCCGATCTGCTTGAGAGGTGTCAGGAAACTTTAGAAATGTTGCAAATCCTGTATGTTTTTGGACTCTGACCCCGTCGATCTGCGTGAGGGGTGACACCGAATATAAGAAATGTTGTAAATCCCATGTGTTTTTGGACCCTGACCCCGCTGATCTGCGTGAGGTGTGGCGCCGAATTTCAGAACCATGGCAAATCCCTTATGTTTTTGGATCCTGACCCCGCCGATCTGCGTGAGGGGTGCCACCGAATATAAGAAACGTGGTAAATCCTATATGTTTTTGGACCCTGACCCCGCGCCCGTTTCGGGCCTCCCCCCCTCGCGCGGTCCATCAACAAGGAACAGTAAGCAGCAAGACGCAGAGCTGTAACAAGGAACAGTGAGCAGCAATAAGCAGAACTGTAACAGTGGAAACTGGAAGCTGCAATTGGTACAGGAAACTGCGAACCTCCGGCCTACAGCCTGGTGGCCCCACAAGGGGGCTGGCGGACATTTTTCCCAGCGACTCGCATACACATGTTTGCCGGCGACTCGCATGTACGAATGTACGGATGTACAGTGTGCGGATGCACAGTGTGCAGTGCACGGAGTGTGCGGATGTGCGGGTGCACGGAGTGCCGAAGCATGCTTCGGAGTCTGCGGAGTGTAACCGACCGCGGGCGATAATAATATCCCGGGGATAATAAAGTTCGGGCATCCGGCGGGGATAATGACAGTTTTCCCGGGGAAGGTATGTTATGATGATGATGATGATGATGATGATGATGATGATGATGATGATGATGATGATGATGATGATGGTGATGATGATGATGATGACGGTGACGATGATAATCTGATAATGAGGTGGTGAGTCGACCATGGCCATGCTCACCGTTTTTGATGCTGTTGCTGGTCAACATGAGATCATCGCAACTTCGATTCGCCTCCGCGCCCCCCTCCACAACTGAATCCTGTTGGACGGGGAGGGGTTCAGGAGGGGGTTAGACTTTATTATCGCCCGCACGCGGTTACTGTGCGCGGATGTACGGCTGTGTTCGCCAGCCCACGGTGGGGCAGTCTCACCACCCGCGCTGTGGCGGGGCCTCCCTGGCGGGGTGGGAGGAGCATTGAATCGGGCATGTCCTTCTGCAGCAGGAACAGTCAAAGATAGTCGTAAAATACTCTGGGGACGAATGTTTTTTTTTGTGCGTGTGTGTGTGTGTGTGTGTGTGTGTGCGTGTGTGTGTGTGTGTGTTTGTGTGTGTGTGTGTGTGAGTGGGATTATTTTTGAACATGTTCTGACTATTTTTCATATTCCCTCCAACATCCGCCTGTGGGAGGACGTGCCCGACCTAAGAGGAGCACGACACCTGAGAAACAGCATGGTACAACGATACCCCGCTTGCTCTGGCGGGGCCTCCCTGGAGGGGAGGGAGGAGCGCGAAACCTCAGAAATCGGTATAGCGATGCCACGCTCGCGCTGGCGGGGCCTGCTTGGAGGGGTCGGAAGAGCACGAAACTTGAGGAATAGGACGGTATAACGATTCTCTGCTCGCTCTGGCGGGGCCTCCCTCGAGGGGTGGGAGGAGCGCGACACCCGAGACATAGTATGGTATAGCAATACCGTGCTCGCTCTGGCGGGGCCTCCCTGCAACACGTTCGTGACAATGCTGCCGTTCATGCCAAGAAGTTAGCAACTATGATTCGTACTTGGCCCGGTTGATCATCAATTTCGGCCCCACCGCCGACCAACACTGTCTGGGCTGGAGATACTCAACACTGCCGGGTTTGGGGGGGTACTCTTTAATCCAGGGCTTTCGGTTACGTGGTGGATGAGCCGATGGACGAGCAGGAATCAACAGGAGTCAGGAGAAGCACGAGCAGGAATCAACAGAAGAATCAGGAGAAGCACTTGGACGAGGACAAAATGAGCAACAGCAGGAGTATGTGGAGCGGGAAACGGGATAATGGCGATGATGATGGCGACAACGGTGACGATGATGATGATGACGACGATGACGACGATGTTGATACTGATGCTGATGCTGAGCATGATGATGAGGATGATGATGATGTTGGTCATGGTGTTTATGAACGTAGTGCTGATGACGGTGGAGGTGCTGATGATGATGCTGATGATGAATTTGACGATGATGATGGTGATGGTGATGGCGATGGTCATGATGACGGTAATCATGATGGCGACGGTGATTATTATTATCATGTTGGGGTTGATGGTGATGATGACGATGATGAGGAGGACGGAGATGATTACAGTGGTGGCGGTGATGAGACGTTGACGATGGTGATTATGTTGATGATACTGATGCTGATGATGATGCTGCTGACTGTGGCTGTGATGGTGATGCTGAAATATATGATGATGCTGTTGATGATGACGATGGGTATGACGACGATAATGATGATGAGGTTGATGATGGTGATGCTTATGCTGAGGACGAGAACGACGATGCTGGTGGTGATGCTCATGCTGATACTGATGAGGATGACGATGACGATGGTGATGAGGCTGTTGATGATGATGGCGATAACGATGATGATGCTGATGATGATGCAGACGATGACGACTATGAAGACGATGATGCAGATTAGTATGCTGATGCTCATGATGATGCTGTTGCGAATGATGATGATGTTGATGATGCAAATGATCGTTCTGATGGTGATAAGGATACGGAAGATGATGAAGATGATGATGATGATGATGATGATGATGATGATGATGATGATGATGATGATGATCATGATGATGATGATGACACTGATTGTAAGGATGAGTATGATGCTGTTTGACGATGATGACAATGCTTCTGACGATGACGATGTCGATGGCGACGACGATGATGGTTGTGATGATGATGGTGGTGATGATGATGATGATGATGATGATGAGTGGCGATGATGAGGATGATAATGATCCGGATGATGATGCTGATGATGATGATGCTGATGATGATGATCATGACTCGGATGATTTTGAAGATGCAAATTTTGAAGATTTTGGTGCTGTGGAGGACAAAGGCGATGAGGATGATGACGAGGACGATGATGATCATGCTGATGTTGAGAATGACGAAGATGACGATGACGATGACGATTAAGGTGATGATGAAACTGCTGATGATGATGACGACGACGATGATGCTGGTGATGATGATGATGCTGCTGATGATGATGATGATGATGATCATGATGGTGATGATGATAATGACGATGATGACGATGATGATGATGATGATGATCATGATGATGATGATGATGATGGTGATGATGATGATAATGATGATGATAATGATGATGACGATGTTGATGATGATGATGATGATGATGATGATGATGATGATGATGATGAGGAGGAGGAGGAGGAGGAGGAGGAGGAGGAGGAGGAGGAGAAGGAGAATGAAGAGGAGGAGGAGGAGGAGGAGGAGCAGACGGAGGAGGAGGAGACTGATGAGGACCCAGAAAATGCGAAGGAGAGGGCAGGACGAGGGTGACAATGGCGAGGACGGAGTTGGATCCAGAAGCGTGGCCCGCGCCGTGGCGAGGGCGCCTACCTGCACGACCGGAGCAGGGCTAGCAGGGTGCCGACCCTGAGGTGCGGCCAGCGCTGCAGCGGGACCCCAGTAGGAGGAAGCCCACCCGCAGAGCTCGTGACAGGAGCCCAGAGGCTGGGAGAGAACGGGGGCGCGACCTGGATTGGAGCGGGCCCTCATCATCATCATCATCATCATCAGCAGCAGCAGCAGCATCATCATCATTCTCATCATCACCATCATCATCATCATCATCATTATCAGCATCGTCATCATCATCGTCACTCATCATCATCAGCATCATCCTCGCTATCACCATCATCATCATCATCATCATCATCATCATCATCATCATCATCATCGTCACCATCATCATCATCATCATCATCATCATCGTCACTCATCATCATCATCATCGTCTCTCATCATCATCATCATCATCATCATCATCATCACCCTAATCATCGTCATCATCCTCATCATCATGCATTCTCGTCCTTGTCGTCATCGTCATCATCATCATCATCATCATCATCATCATCATCATCATCATCATCATCATCAACATCACCACCTTTTCGCCCGATGCCCTCCTTTGCCGGGTTCGCCACACGGTGCAGCCTGCCGCCGCCGTGCTCAGATCAGCAGGCGGCGAGGGCGCCGGGCTCGACACCCGCGCGACGGGACGGGTCGTCGGATGCCTGCGGAGGGCGCCCGATCCAAAGAGGGCGGTCGTGCGCGCACCCCCGCTCGACTAGACGTAAGAGTGACCTTTCGCCGGAGTGACCCTTGGTGCGGGCACGGATGGGTCCCCAGACGGCGGAACACGAAGCAGGAGCAGCGGCTTGCGCGCCCAGGTTTGGTCCCCACGCGGCCCCCAGAAAAGCCGCGCACCAAAGGTCACTCTTACCCAGGGTCACTCTTGCGTGTAGCCGACTCGCCCGATGCCCTCCCTTGCCGGGTTCGCCACACGGTGCAGCCTGCCGCCGCCGTGCTCAGATCAGCAGGCGGCGAGGGCGCCGGGCTCGACACCCGCGCGACGGGACGGGTCGTCGGATGCCTGCGGAGGGCGCCCGATCCAAAGGGGCCGGTCGTGCGCGCACCCCCGCAGGGACGGAGCGCCGCGTTCCCCGCGAGGGGCCTGCGTCGCGGGCCATGAGAGCCCACAGCTCTCTCGGCACGTGCCGCGGCCTCTTCTCGAGCGAGGATGGGGAGCACGGGCGCCGGCCCCCCCGGGAGTCAGCGTGGCCTCGCGGGGGGGAGAGGGCAAGTCGGGCCGGGCGAAAGGGGGGGATTGGGAAAGGGGGGTGTTACGAAATTTGCTGCATGCAGCTGGTTTCGGCCCCGCCGAGGGGCCCATTCCTCGATACATGGCCGCCTCCCGGCGCCGGGAGGCGCCAGGAAAATCAGCTACGTGAGCTGATTCTCAAACCCCCCCTTTGCTATCCCCCCCTTTCGCCCGACCCGAGCAAGGGAGGAAGGGAGGGAGAGGGGGAGAGAGCTTGGACACAGTCTATGTATAGATACGGACATGCACGTTTTTGCATTAAGCGCTATGCATACAGCGAGAGAGGGAGAGAGAAGGAGATCAAGAGCTACAGAGGGAGAGAGGGAGGGTTTTGGGGGGGTCCGATGGGCAAAGGGAGAGAGAGAGAGAGAGAGAGAGAGAAAAGGAGATCAAGAGCTACAGAGGGAGAGAGGGAGGGTTTGGGGGTGTCCGATGGGCAAAGGGAGAGAGGGAGAGAGAGAGAGAGAGAGATTGGGACAGCCCGAGCGACCTGACATAATGCCGTCTGGTGGTCAGGCAGAGCTTTTCCTGGACAAGATGCCAATCACCTGCTCCAATTTCATCGACCTCTGCAAGACTGGGTTCTACGACGGCATCCACTTCCACCGCGTCATTCCCAATTTCATGAACCAGTTCGGCTGCCCAAACGCCAAAAACCCCCGGTCTCCCAGGGCTGGCACCGGTGGTCCCGCTGATGGTACCTCGTTCGAGGTTCTCGATGGAACTGGCAAGATCATCAAACGCTTGCCGGGCGGCAACATCCCGGACGAGCTCATCACAAAGATCACCAACGGGCCAGGCACCCTTTCCATGGCGACCAGTGGCACGTTTGCAAAGGGAGGGGGGGGAGTGCGCGGGAGGGGTTGGCCTTGCTGAGAAGGCTCTCGAGGCCTCGTCGATGGGGCTTGGCGTCAGCCAGGATGGCATCTTAGCATGAAGTCGGGCGTGTCCCTCCACAGGAGGAATACTCAAAAATAGTTGCAGAGTAGGCTGGGGACGATTTTTGAATTCCTCTTGACCCTTTTTGGAAATACTGTTTACTATATTTTTGATGTTTCGTCGAAAATCGGCCTGTAGGGGGACATGCCCGACCTACTCTTGGCAGACGGGAAGGCCCATCCAGAAACCTCCTGCCTTCGCACACCTGGCGCCGCGGGCCCAAGGCGTCGCGGGGTGATCGGACACAGGCCGCTGGGCGCCACGTGGCTGCTGACGTCCTGCAGTCGGAGGTGGACAGAACCCCCAACAGTGACACGTCGATTAGTGAATTGTCCGTTCTCGGTTCTCGAGAGAGCGCCGTGGCCGTTATTTTCCAGGCTTGCGCCCGCCAGGTTTGGGCCTCAGGTCGTTTTCACTAAACCACGTTTTGCTAAAGGGAGGTCTGTCCATCCCCGATGCAGATTCTGACCCCCAGCTGGTTTCTCCGGAGTCTGACCTGCAGAGACTCATGTCGCGCGTGGTTGCCTGCCCTCGATGAGGGGAACAACTGCGCAACCCCTCGTGGCAGCGCCTCTGGTGCCTTCCTTTGTGCGCTCTTTGCGCCAGGGAGGGGGCCCAGCGCTGATGTACAAGAAATCCCCGGGGACCTCCTGAATGTCATGCTTATGCAGGCTTCGATTCTGGTGAACTCGTGGGCGAAACTTACATCCCGGCCTCGCGGGCCTGGCTCGTAGGCCGCGACCCTGCGGATACGTGGCGTTTTTCGCGGATGCCCCGCGCGGAACGCCTCCGTATACGACCGCGTGTCCGCGGTCTCGCATGCCGTAATCCAGAACGCGAGGGCTCGGATGCGGAAGGTTCGCCGCTCGTGACGTCCGCTGCCTTGTGGTCTTCCGACCACAGCTCGGCTCTCCGGCGGCCGTTCGGGACGATCTGTGCGCCCCTGGATCGCACTCGGTGAGGTGCAGTTGCTGGGGAGCATTCCGAGACCAGAAGGCCGCCTGGGACCGACGAGCACGCCGGGAAACCTCAAACCTCAACCCTCGAATCTCGAACCTCAAACCTCGCCCACCCTCTCCCACTCGCACCTCAAACCTCAAACATCAAACCTCAAACCTCAATGCTCGAATCTCGAACCTCAAACCTCAATCCTCGAATCTCGAACCTCAAACCTCAATACTCGAATCTCGAACCTCTCTCACCCTCTCCCACTCGCCCCTCGTCCCTGCGCCCGCCCCCGAGAGGCGAACACGGGCCAGCCGAACAGCGGGGGCTCCCAGTTCTTCATCAACGTCGCCAGCAACGACTACCTCGACTGGTTCGACAGGAGGTCTCGGCGGCGAGCGAGCGGGGGAAGTGAGAAGGAGAAGGCCTTCTCAGAAGGCAGCGCGACTTCTCAGAAGTGCTCGCGCCTTCTGAGACGTTTTTTGCGTCTTCGGGGAAAGTCAACAACAATCTTCTCAGAAGGCTGGGGGACTTCCGAGCCTCCTGTGCAGGCCCGCCCCTTCTCACTTCCCCCCGCGCTTGCCGCCAGAGGTCGCCCTCGGCCCACCCGGTGTTCGGCGAGATCACCGAGGGCTACGACCTCGTCGAGAAGATCTCCCGGGTTCGCACTGTCCAGGATTCGGGCCAGGCGAAAGGGGGGGATTGGGAAAGGGGGGGTTACAAAATTTGCTGCATGCAGCTGGTTTCGGCCCCACCGAGGGGCCCGTTCCTCGATGCATGGCCGCCTCCCGGCGCCGGGAGGCGCCGGGAAAACCAGCTACGCGAGCTGATTCTCAAACCCCCCCTTTGCTATCCCCCCCTTTCGCCCGACCCGAAGGATGCCCCGGTCGAGCCGATCATGATGAAGACGATCACCATCGAGGGCCTGTAGGCCCCCCGGGATCCAGCCGTTCCGAGGAGGTCGGGGGGCCGAGGCTTCGACCAGCCCGGGCGCCCTCTCGGGCCAGAGAGCAGCCAGAGACAGCCACAGGTACTCCAGACTTCGTAATAAAGGGAGGGGGGTCTCATTTCGGGGGGGGTCTCTTCCAGGCTATCTTGGGGGGCCCGGGGGGGTCTGGGGACGATGTTTTGGAGGGTTCTCCCACGGGGGGGGGTCTGATATGGCTTGTCTTGGAGGGTCCAGACCCCCTCCCTTTTCTTACGAAATCTGGAGTATCTGGGCCTGCGAGATGGGGCCGGAGCAGATCGGGGCGGAGGATTGCGCCGTATCAGCGATGCGACTCGACGCGGAGCCCGCTGTTCTCCACGCCGGCGTCGCCGATGCATCGCCGACGTCGCGGAAGCATCGCCGACGTCGCGGAAGCATCGCCGATGCATCGCCGATGTGGCGTGATCCTCCAACCCCGTCTTTTCCGACCCTGTTTGGGAGGCCTCTGAGGTAGTAAGCTATAGGCGTAATGTTGGCCCCGGCCCCCCCCCCGTCCTCATCTCGGGGGGGGGGGCAGGCGCTCCCTGCGGTGAAAGATTATTATTATTATTACTATTATTACTATTACTATTACTATTATTATTCTTCTTCTTCCTCCCTCGGTCTGGTGACCCCCCAGCTGGCGTTCCAGTTTCTGCTGCACTGGCATGTATGCTCTGCGTGATGTCAGGGGAGGCAGCTTCAGCGATCTTTGGCCGCTCAAGAATTGCAGGTCCTTTGGCAGCTTGGCGATCCTTGGCGATCTTTGGCCAAGGATGGCAGCTTGGCGATCTTTGGCCGGCCCAAAATATTTAATGGCATGGGTTGGCCTATGGCAGGTCGGCTTGTGCGGTGCTCCCCGTTTGCCCGGCGCCTCGCGACCTTTTGATTCGCGATGTTGGTGTGGCACCCGTGCAGGGCTCGTTTCGATTCCTCCGATTCGATTCGACTTCGATGGATTCCGATTCCGAGTCGATTCGACCTGGGCTTCCGATTTGGATTCCGATTTCTTATTGGAGGCATACTAGCCTGCCGATTTCCGCCGATTCGACTTTTCCCGATTCGGCTGCCGATTTCCGCCGACCCGATTCATGTCGATTGCCGATCCGATTTATCGATTCGATTCTGGGCTCTCCTGCCCGTGGGTCTTTTGAACCACATACATTTCGGGCACAATTGTTTTTCCATAGTTCTTGGACTCGCATTACTTCCTCTTGGGGCGTCCCAGAGGCCCCGCTTGCCAGGTCGCCCACGCCCTGAGATCCGGCGTTGTGGAAAGCAGGCGCCATCGTGAACAAAAACGACCGGAGCCCCGGAACCCATCTTCCTGCTCCGTTTTCCGAGGCGCATCGATGTGTGAGGGTTCCGGGGGCCCGAAACAGCGGGCGAAGATGCCCGCTGTGAAAACAGTGCATCTGAGGGGGCGCGGAGGTGACCGAGGAGAGAAGCATAGTCACAACACAAGTAACCGCTGACTTCCGTGAGAAGGGGAAAGGTATGGGAAGTGGAGGGGGAACGGAAACTCCAGACATGGAACATGCTGGGTTTCGTTTCGATGTATTGTTGTGTCTCCTTGGTCCTTGGGCCCTGTCAGGAGGTTTTGCGAGGCCAGAGGTCCGAGGCTCCGAAACAAAAATGAGCGGCCTGGTTTCGGCTATGATCGGCCTCTGGGGGCCCTCCGCGGTCCCTGGGACCATCGAGAAACGGCTCAGGACGAATAGACGGCCCTATAGGGAAGTGGACTAGACCTCGACGGGGGCGCGCATCGAACAAATCGGAGCGGGGGGACGCATCGAACCCCCAATCGCTCACTGATCGCCGATAGGGGCCCGATACAGCCCCAACCTGCCCAGGAACGTTCGGATTTGCCATCTGGGGCGTAAGTCAACCCGCATAGGAAGGATGGGCAATCTTCTCAAGGGTACCCTTGCATCCTTGCCTCCTCGGTGCATCCTTGGCCACTTTTGTGGGCCGCGTCCCGCTTGAAAAGCTTCGAAATGGGCTTCCAAGGGCCTTGCATCCTTATCGTGCATCTTTACTATACGGCTTGACTGTGTCACCGATCAATCATTAATGTATCGCCGATTCCAGTTCGATGTTTCCCCCTCTTCTGCCAGTCCCCCTCCTGTCGTGGCCCCTCGGGGGGCGGTTTGCGCGTAAGCTTGACCCGGGAAGGTCGAACTGGGTACAGTGGAGAGCCATGCCAAGAAGCACCCTGCTTGCCTCCAGGGTGCCCTGGGTTTCCTGGGTTTCGATGGTTTTGCTATGGAAAGCGTGACGTTCCCACACCAAACTGCAATGTACGTCCTGGGGTCTCAGAGTTGTGGTTCTACTGTACGGCTCCTATCGTACTGGACGGACCTTGTCCATTTGAGATGGAAGGCCGCTTGTCCAGCAGCGGCTGCTGTTGGTTTTGGATAGCAGTTGTCATTGGGCATTGTGCCCATGTGTTCCGTCCCTATTTCGGGCGTTCAAATTCATGCGTCAGGTTGCGCGTGAGCGCTCTCGTTTCCAGTGAAGCGTGCCGCGCTGGCGGACCGCGAAATCCACCGCGTAAGGCCGCTAAGTCATCTCGGGTAAGACTGGCTTCTTTTCGTCGCCCAGATGTCTGGGAGGACAGGTTGGCGCAGCGCGCGCAGCAAGCTCCAATCCCTCCTGGGGCCCCTGCTGGTCCTCGTCTCCCATCCCCCTCCTTTGCCTCCTCCTCCTCCTCCTCCTCCTCCTCCTCCTCCTCCTCCTCCTCCTCTCCTCCTCCTCCCCCTCCTCCTCCTTCTCCTCCTCCTCCTCCAACTCCTCCTCTCCTCCTCCTCCTCCTCCTCCTCCTCCTCCTCCTCCTCCTCCTCCTCCTCCTCCTCCTCCTCCTCCTCCTCCTCCTCCTCCTCCTCCTCCTCCTCCTCCTCCTCCTCCTCCTCCCCCCGTCCTCTTTGCAGCGGGCGTCGCGATTTTCCTCCCCCCTATGGGCGCTTCTGCCAGGGAGCTCGGGCCCCGGGGCCCTCTTTCGGAGCGACATCCGGCTCGAACACAAAAGCAGCCGGCAGGTGGAGTTTATAGGGCTCCGGCCGTGAGCCTTGTCAGGGGCAGCGATCGGGGGGGGGATGGGCATACACCTTGGGCGATGCTTAAGAAAACTTACGATTTCGGCCAGAGTCTCGATGATTCTTAACGTTTCAATGTAACTCCCAAGATTTCTAATGGAACTGTTGGGTTTGTACTCAAGTTCTGAGACTATGAATTTCTTAACCCATGATTTCTTAAGCATTTCGCAGGGTGTAGAGGGGGATGCATCGACCCCCAATCGCCCATTGATCGCCGATAGAGGGCCGATGGCCCTGGCCTGCCCAGGAGGGTGCGGATTCTCACTATCAGGGATTCTATCGCCGATCCATCGACGATGCATCGCCGATTCTATGGGTCGAGGCATCCCCCCCTGTGCCAGTCCCCCCCCCCTATCGTTGCCCCTCACTTTGTGAGGTAGCAATCTGCTTGCAACCTCGGATCTCAGGGCACGGCGGCGCGCACAGGGTGCGGTGGGGCAAGGTGGCGCGGCCCGCCGAGGGGGCGGGCGGGGCGCTCCGCGGGGGTTCCTCCCGCCTCCCCAGAGGGCGCCCTCGCTCGGAAGTTCCCGAGCCCATCCCAGGAGACCCCTCCCAGACCCGTGGCGTCGCTCGGGCGTGTGCATTTTTTTCGGCGAGGACCATCGAGGAGGATTTGAGGTCATCGCGTGAAAGGTGGAGACTTTAGTCGGGCGTGCCCTTCTACAGGAGGACTATTCAAAAATAGTCCAAGCCCAAGCATAGCTGGAGGACAATTCTTCGAGATTTTTTAGATTATTCTTGAGTGTTGAAGTGGCCTTCGGCAAGTGCCGCCGATCCGAATCGCTTTGGGTGCCTCCCAGGCTGGGCGGCGACACCTCGCAGACAGACACGCACGCACACGCTCGCAGCAGACATTGCGCGCACACGCACGCACACACGGTCACACACGCACACGCGCACACACGCACACACGCACACACACACCCACACACCCACAAACGCACACACGCAAACACGCACACACGCACACACACACGCACGCACGCACGCACGGCCGCGCGCACGCACGCACACGCACACGCACACGCGCACGCGCACTCGCACGCGCACGCGCACGCGCGAGGGCACGCGCACGCGCACGCGCACACACACGCCGCACACGCACGCGCACGCGCACGCACACGCCGCACACGCACTCGCCGCCGCACACGCACACGCACACGCACATGCACACGCACACGCACACGCACACGACGCACACGACGCACACGACGCACACGACGCACACGACGCACACGACGCACACGACGCACACGACGCACACGACGCAGACGCACACGCAGACGCACACGCACACGCGCACGCGCACGCACACGCACACGCGCACGCAAACGCACACGCACACGCACACGCACACGCACAAGCACACGCACACGCACACGCACCCACGCACACGCACACGCACACACACACACCCACACGCACGCACGCACGCACGCACGCACATCCACACACCCACACACACACACACCCACACACACACCCACGCACACCCACACACATCCACACCCGCGCCACCCACACACACCCACAACTACAACCACACACAACACACACACCCGCGCACAAGCACACACCAGACAGCACCGCACCGACGCCGGAAACGACCCACCCACGCACACACCGCACACACAGCCCACACACCCCTAACACACCCCTCACACACCACACACATACACACTCCACACACACCCTCACACACCCCACGCACAAACACCCCCCCCACCCACACACCACACCCACACGACATAATCCCCCCACACGACCCACACACACCCGACACCCACAACATACACACCCAACACAACACACCACAACCCACACACTAAAGGTCCACCACACACCCACACACGACACCACAACACACAGACCCACACACACACCACACACACCCACACACACACACACACCCACGTACACACCCCCACACCCCCACACCCCCACACCCCCACACCCCCACACCCCCACACCCCCACACACCCCCAACCCCACATCCCCACACCCCAGCGCACGCGCACGCGCACGCGCACACGCACCCGCACCGCGCGCGCACGCGCACGCGCACACGCGCACACGCGCACACGCGCACACGCGCACACGCGCACACGCGCACGCGCTCACGCGCGCACGCGTGCACGCGCGTACACCCGCACACGCGCACACGCACACGCGCGCGCACGCGCACACGCGCACACGCGCACACGCGCACACGCGCACACGCGCACACCCGCACACACCCACACACACCCACACACGCACACACGCACACACGCACACACGCACACACGCACACACGCACACACGCACACGCGCACACGCGCACACGGCAACGCACACACGCCAGAGGCACACGCACACACGCACACACGCACACACGAACACACGCACACACGCACACACGCACACACGCACAACACGCTCACACACGCACGCACGCACGCGCACACGCACACGCACACACGCACATTACGCACCACGCGCACACACGCAAATTTTACGCACACACGCGCACACGGCCACACGCAAACACCACACACACACACGCACCACACACGTACACACGCACCACATTGCACACGTGCACACGCGCACAACGCACACGCGCACCCCCCACGCACACACCACGCACAAACGCAACAACGCACACACGCACACGCACACGCGCACACACGCACACACGCACACGCACACACGCACACGAACACACACACACACACGCACGCACACGCACACGCACACGCACACGCACACGCACACGCACACGCACACGCACACGCACACGCACACGCACACGCACACGCACACGCACACGCACACGCACACGCACACGCACACGCACACGCACACGCACACGCAAACGCACACGCACACGCACACGCACACGCACACGCACACGCACACGCACACGCACACGCACACGCACACGCACACGCACACGCACACGCACACTCACACGCACACGCACACGCACACTCACACGCACACGCACACGCACACGCACACGCACACGCACACGCACACGCACACGCACACGCACACGCACACGCACACGCACACGCACACGCACACGCACACGCACACGCACACGCACACGCACACGCACACGCACACGCACACGCACACGCACAGGCGCACACGCACACGCACGCACACGCACACGCACACGCACACGCACGCGCACGCGCACACGCACACGCACACGCACACGCACACGCACACGCACACGCACACGCACACGCACACGCACACGCACACGCACACGCACACGCACACGCACACGCACACGCACACGCACACGCACACGCACACGCACACGCACACGCACTCGCACACGCACACGCACACGCACACGCACACGCACACGCACACGCACACGCACACGCACACGCACACGCACACGCACACGCACACGCACACGCACACGCGCACGCGCACGCGCACGCGCACGCACACGCACACGCACACGCACACGCACACGCACACGCACACGCACACGCACACGCACACGCACACGCACACGCACACGCACACGCGCACGCGCACGCGCACGCGCACGCGCACGCGCACGCGCACGCGCACGCGCACGCGCACGCGCACGCGCACGCGCACGCGCACGCGCACGCGCACGCGCACGCGCACGCGCACGCGCACGCGCACGCGCACGCGCACGCGCACGCGCACGCGCACGCGCACGCACGCACGCACGCACACGCACACACACACGCACACACACACACCACTCACACAAGCGCGCCATCTTCACAGGCACATGCACACGCACACGTCGGCAACGCACGCACACAGACACACACCACGCACACCGCACAAACACACACCACATAACAGACACGCATTCCACCGCCAGCTTCGTTTTCCACCTCATTTGTTTCTCGTTTTCCGCTCTTGTCCCGTTCCACGTCTTTCTCCTTTTTTCCCCGATTCCTTTCTCGCCTACACGGACAAACATTACCCCGCGCACGCGCATCCCCCCCGTTCCCGTCGTTCCCAGGCAGAGCCACCCCAGCACCCCCCCCAGAGGCTGAAGCTCAGCCTCGAGGCTGTTGCTGAGGCTCCTTCAAACTCACACGCCACGGAGACCCCCCTTCCCCTCCCCCACGCCATCGGAACCAACGCAACCGGACCCCCCCCCCACACCCTCTTCCCCCAATTCCCCCTGTCCACAGGAGGGGCGGGGGACCAGACACCCCCAACGCCACTGAAACCAACGCTACACCGGACCCCCCCCTCCCCCTACCCCATCAGAGCCACCCCAGCCACCGGACCCCTCCGTCTCCCCCCAATTCCCCTTGTCCACAGGCGGGACGGGGGACCGCATCCCCCCCATCCCCTCCCGCGCCACCGGAACCCACGCCGCCGGAACCCTCCCCCCCCGTCCCCCCCCCCCTACCCTGGCAGAGCCACCCAGTCACCTCCTCCCCCTCGCACGCACACGCCAGATCGGCGGATTTCCTGGCGCAGAATCCGCCTGAAGGAGGACATGCCCGACCCAAGTGGGGAGTCAGGGTTCACAGCGCGAGCGTGCCTGGGACCCCCCCCGCCCCGTGCGCGCCGCCAGCGCGCGGCCGCGCAGGCGATCCCCCGGCGGGCCACGGGCGCAGCGGCCAGAGCCCCCTCGCCTCCCGAGGCGCGGCGGGCGCCGCGGCGGGCGCTGCGCGCTCGAGGAAGAGCAGACGGCATACAGTGGAGACCCATGCTTTGAGCAGGGCTGAGGGTCAGAGAGCGCCGTCCTCTGACCATAAAAGGGACGTCAAGGTGGTCAACCGCATCGCTGGTTGAGCCGACGAAGGCGTGCAACCTCCAGCCATTCGCTTATCTCCAAGGTTTTTGCTTCACGCCAAGTGTGGTACATCAGTTTCAGCTTGACCGAACAGGTTGGTTGCGCCGCTTGACGTCCGTTTAGGGTGTTCCTCAGCCCTACTCAACCCATGCCAAGAAACACCCTGCTTGCCTCCAGGGTGCCTTGGGTTTCTTGGGTGTCGTTGGTTGTTTCTATGTAGTGCGTGCCGTTCCCACACCAAAGTCAATGGACCTCCTGGGGTCTCAGGGTTGGGTCTCTTGTGGAAGGTCTCTTGCGGACTGGCTTCCGCTGTAGGCTGAACTTGTCGGAGTTCCGCGCGGATTTTTTGGATCGGCGGTTGACCACCCCTGGCGGCGCCTCCAGCGCCGCCCCTGGCGTGCTCCGCGCGCCAGGGAGGTGGGGCCCAGCGCTGCCAGAAATGTGGGTGGGAGTGGGGAGGGAGGGAGGGAGGTGGGAGGGAGGGAGGGAGGGAGGGAGGAGGGGAGGAGGAGGAGAGGAGGAGGAGGAGAGGAGGAGGAGGAGGAGGGGAGGAGGAGGAGGAGGAGGAGGAGGAGGAGGAGGAGGAAGAGGAGGAGGAGGAGGAGGAGGAGGAGGAAGAGGAGGAGGAGGACGAGGAGGAGGAAGAGAAGGAGGAGGATCAAAACGGGCGGGCGGGCGGGAGGGAAGGACGCGCGGACCTCCGAAGAGGTTTTGTTCATGCAGCTGTTTGTTCCTCCACCCGCCGCGCCCGGACGCACCCGCCGCGGCTGTGTGGCCCGTTCCATACGTACGCCTGCTACTGGGGGGGCAGGCGCGTGGGGGCCGGGGTCCGTGAAGGGCAAACATCAGGAGGGGAAGAAACACACAGACACAACTAATCCTCGATTCCCAAGAAAATATGGCAAAATATGGGAATTGGACGGGAAGACAAAAACCCAGAAAATATACGAAATATGGGGAATCTTTTTATTTGTGTGTATTTATTTGTGTGTCCTGGGGCCCCTTCAAAACAGAAGGACACAGATTTTCGGAGAAGGCTGGCGGTCTGGGGCATCAGCTTTCGAAGGGATCCCCCGGGAGCCAAAAAACAAGTGGGCGACGAGCAGAAACGGGTCCAGTGGCGCCAACATTCGCGCGTGGCGTAAGCGCGCCCTCGCTTTGGGTGTGGCGTGCCGCGCGGGCGGCCCGCGCAAGCCACCGCGTGAGGGCACCACGTCATCTCGCGTAAGACCCGTTTTCTGCTCGTCGCTCAAACGATGAACGTGGCCCCGAAGCAGGAGCATCCAAGGAAATGAGTTTGCCGTTGCCTGGCCTCCATCGGGCGACGAAATCTATACATATCCACTGCTCCCTGGCCAGGCCCATCCTGAACCCAGGAGCTGTGTATACGCCCTCCTGGCCAAACCAGGAGGGCGTGGCGTATACACAGCTGCTGTGTTCAGGATGGGTCTGGCCAGGGAGCAGTGGATATGTATAGATTGCGTCGCCCCACTCCAAAAGGCCGACCCCCCATTATCAGGCGAAGGGCCCCCCAGGCCTCGCCCAGCGCGCCCGACTCGGCGGCGCGCGGGAAGGGTGGTGGGTGCTCCTCAGCGCTCCCGCTCCGAGTCGATGTCGCTTTCGGCCGGCTCTTGGCTGCGCGCAGGAGGGGGGAGGGGGGAGGGGGGAAGGCTTTTCAGATGCACCCCCGCCTTCCAGAAGGCGCGGGCCTTGTCGGTAAATTTCAGGCCCGCGGCTTCCAGGAAGCAGCCTCCTGCTAAGAAGACTTCACTCCTTCCCCCTACCCTTAGGTCGTGCGTGTCTCTCTACAGGAGGTATATTCAACAATTTGTTTTAAATAGTCAGGGGACGATTTTTTTTTTTGCTTTGCCTATTTTCGAGTATGTTTTTGGCTATTTCTACCTTTTCCTCCAGAATCCGCCTGTAGGAGGACGTGCCAGACTTAACCCTGTCCCCCTCTGCGCGCCGCCCAGGCTCGATCCGACTCGATTCCGATGCTCCGTCGATCGGACGCGGCCCGGCGACCTGCACGGGGCACTCTGCTGTGTGCATCCCCGCGCCGCCGACAGCCGGCTCGACCTCGACGCCGCGCTGGTGCGGCCCGGCCCAGTCCGAGGCACGCTCCGATCCGATCCGATGTGGAGGCGATCGCAGGCACGGATCGAGGGAGCGTAGATCAGCGACGGGTCCCGTTTCCAGGGGGAACTCTCGCGGCCGTCCGTCGCCGAACGAGGCGGCATGGGCCGCATTTTGGTGAGGGCACCTCTCCCGATCCGTGTCTGCGCGCCCCCGAGATGTATCGATTCGATGCTGGCGGTTCCCGCCTCAGGGGCAACGTTAGTCAGGAGGGGAAAAAACACACAGACACAATTAATCGTCGATTCCTGTGAAAATTTTGGAAAATATGGGAAGTGGGGGGGAAGACAGAAACCCAGACAATATGGGAAAATATGGGGAATCTGTTTATTTGTGCGTATTTGTTTGTGTGTCCTGGGGCCCCTTCAGTTAGAGGGGTCTCGTCGGCGTCTTCGGCGGTGCTTCGTCGGTGCTCGGCGGCAGGCTCCCCGGCGTCCTCGTCGGCTCTCGGCGGTTTTTTGTCTGGCCTCGGGAGAGGCCCTCCGGCTGCGGCCGCGCCGCGCCTCGGCTCGGCGAGAGCGGCCCCGGGGGTGTCCCGAGCGTCCCGAACGGCCGCCAGGCACCCGAGCCACGGCCCGAGAACCAGGGGGCAGCATGATCGGGGGCGGAAAAGATGGGGGTGATGACTAGGGGGGGGGGATCTCATGGCGGGGGCCATGATATCTCCCCAGATTTTCGTGGCGCCTCTTCTCGTTTCATTACGTCCCTGGCGCCCCCGCTGGGCCGCGCACGTGCCGCCGGTCATGATTTGCACCCCCCCCTCTTGGACACCCCCCTCTTGGCCGCTCCCGAGAACCAGGGGGCATCATGGGGAGGGGATGGGCTCAAAGGGGGGATGCATCGACCCCCAATGGCCCACTGATCGCCGAGAGGGGCCCGGCCGATACCCCACAAGGTCGTCCAGGAGCCTGCGGATTCGCTGCCGGGGGCCTGTCGCCGATCCATCGGCGATGCACCGCCGATGCCAGCTCGATGTTAACCCCCCTGACCTGGTCGCCCCCCCTACCGTTGCCCCTCAGCTCTTCCTTCCGATCTCGGGGGGGGAAGGGACCCAGACCCCCGACTTCGTAATTTTTCACGACGTCGACCCCCAGAGGTCTCGACCCTTTCCCTGGGGTCCTGCTTTTCGCCTGAGTCGTTTTTGACGGCCCCGAGGCCCGGTCAGGGCCCCCGGAGGCCGAATATCGTGAAAAACTCTCCTCGTGATTTTTTCACACCGCGAGGGGGTCTGGGGATGCTGATGCCGCGGGTGCTCTGAATCGGTCAGGAAAAAATGCCCTGCCACGTCCCCCGCCTCGTCGCTCCCGCGGCGGGGCTCGGCCCGGAGCTCTGGTCGGGGCGGGACCGTGGGCCCCTCGGGCGTCAGGTCCACGGAGGTGGGATGCGTGAGCTCGGGGGGTAAAACAGGGCTAGGATCGGGATAAATCGCTCCAGAGCGTTCCGGAGCGCTCTCAGAGCGTTCCGGAACGCTCTGGAGCGGCCGCGGCGCCCAATACATCCTCCAAACCCGCCGATTCTCAGAGATTTCGAGCTATCCCGATCCGATTTTGTCCCGATCTTTGCGTCGTTTTAGGAAGCGGTGCCCCCATGCCTCTGCCTTTTTCTTCTTTCCCTTTCTTGGGCCTCATGGGCGGCCCTCGTCACCACCGCTGGATGCGCCTCGAGTTCCTGGTCAGGACGCACCCCAGGAGAGGTCCGGGGAGGAACTGTATCAGTACCTCTTGGTTTCCCCATGAACAGTGGGAAACCGATCCCAGCGCCCACATTTTCGGTTCCTGGTCAGAACGCACCCCAGGAGAGGTCTGGTGAGTAACGGTATCAGTGCCTTTTGGTTTCCCCATGCACAGTGGGAAACCGATCCCAGCGCCCACATTTACGGACTTTGCATGTCAGCATTTTGACGTTATGTCCGACATGGCATTGAGCATTGACCGCGTGTCAGTACAAGGCGACGCTAAGTTCAAACGCCGATGAGCATAGCAGCAGCGCGCCGTTCGCATGGAGTTGTGCGGCGTTGTCATTGGCTCACCGTCGAGCAGTTTCCGCTTGCAGTTTACACGTCATTCGACGGTCTTGTTGGTCTAAAGTTCTTCATGATGTGGGGGGCGGGGGGCGCTTTTCATGCGTTCAATACATGGGGGGTGGAGAAGGGTGCACCGTCTGTGCCCTCAAAGGGCCCCTTCTGGGGCCCTGGGGTCCAAAAGGGGCACGACCGGTGCACGTTTCTCTCGCCCCACCCTCGTTGATCGCTCCCCATGGACTAGCCTCCAATCGCTCCCCTGGCGGGGCATGGCCCGGAGCTCTGGTCGGGGTGGGCCCCGGGAGGGGTCGGAAGATCGCCAGCGCGATGCGGGGCCCGATTCTCTCCGCGCCGACGTCGCCGCTGCAGCGCCCACGTCGCTGGTGCATCGCCGCTCCATCGGCGATGTATCGGTGATGCCTCGGCGATGCGGCGTGATACGCGGACCATGGCTCCGACCCCATCTGAGAGGCCCCTAGTTTGGGGCAGGTTGTGAAAAAAGGCTCTGGTCTCGGGGGCCCCCAGACGGTGCGGTGACCACACCGCGTGGTGACTCAGTGGGGTTTGGGACTTGGGAGGCTTTCCGCGGGCCCCTCGGGCGCTTGAGCCATCCAGGGTCCCAGAGGCGCGCGGCGGCGGACCCTGCGGCGAGGAGCCCTTCTGGGGGATTCTCCGAGGTCGCCGCAAGGTCTGCCACCGCACCGTTCTGTTGGGGGAGCGTTCGGCCCGAGCTCGCCTGGGGTCGGGTCTGCCCACGAGTTCTGGCGGGCACCCGTCCTGGGCTTCCACGGTCCCGTGTCCCTGGGATGTCTTGCCGCGGGAGCTCGCGCGAGGCTTTCAGCGTGGGCCTCGTCCTGTTCCTGACGGCCCCGTCGGGCCCGCCCGGGTCCCCCGAAGCCGACTCGTACGGTTCTCGGAGAAAGGGCTGCCGTCTGAGGCAAGGCTGGACCTGAACGCTGTCTAGCTGGACTTCGGCTGTGTCTTGTGTTTCGCTGTGGCTCCTGCACGTCCACTTCGGCACCGCCTGATCCCCGGGCTTCGCCCTCTCCCGGCCGCGTGAGGCCCCGCCTTCTGCAGCCCTTTCTCTGCAAATTAATTCTGTGCGCGTCCCGCTTAGCTTTCAGCGGAAGAGGTTCGCTCTCGCCCTGCAGATCCAACATTGTTTTTCGTTGTGGCAGGGGGGCACAGGACAACGGGCAGCGCAAAACGAACAACAAAGCGAAAACAAAACGAAACACAACGTTTAGGTCCAGCCCTGGTCTGAGGAGGCAGCCCGTGGGCTCTGCGGAGCTCTCCCACAT